AACATTTAGAAACTTGCGCGCCAGGAAGTAAGTTCAAATTCTTCCCGTTTTTCAAGTGCACAATCGACTCAGACGAGTATAGAAAGGAATTAGAGAAAAAATTTATTAAAATACTTGCCTCAAAGTTAAATGGCAAATAAACATTCCAAAAACCTGGGTTAACAATGATGTTATGTCACAGATACAGTCTTCCCTAACCACATTGTTCATGACAACGACATAGTCTTGACACTAGTCCCAAGATGGATGAAAGAACTAGACAGTACAGAAATGTAAAAACTTTTGTTTTAATTTTTATTTATATAATTTTGTACACTGTTTCAAAAAACTTTTACATATAAAAGTCTAAAGATTTGAGCAACGGTACTAATATTAGATGATAATATACGAAGATGATGTTATAAAATCGTCGTGTTGAAAAATACTTCGGCTTAACAAATAGCCTACGACAGTGTTAATGATTTTAACCAAACTAGTTGTTTGTGTAAAATATCTCAGTAATACAGGTAAGTTTTGGGCTATTGATTTAATCCCAAATCTTGAACCTCATCAAATAAACAAAACTCAATACTCTATAAACATGGCTGTGTATCTATACATCAAAAATTTTCAAAATGCAGTAGTTAGTATAAATGTATGTAAAATAATAGAAGAGCCCCTCTATCAAACTACTAGTACTTCCTGTTGATGCCGTTTGTATGAAGTACATGAAGTTCCTTTATCGAGAAGCTTTCTCGAACCTGTCGCTGGGCATCACTCCAGTGAATGTTTTGTTCAATCACTAGAATTTTCACGCGGTTATTAAAGTCATCAAGTTTATGATCGGACTTTAAGTAATGCTGGATAACTGCCAGGAGTGGCTTCTTAGAGATATCACTTCTATGCGAATCTATGGCCAATGAGGCGTTTGTGGAAAGGCTGTTTTGACACACAAACATATTGGAGGCCACAAACCGAACATTCTAGAATGGAAATAACATTCATACTTTTGCAGGTCACATTGCAAAATATCCTATAGTTATGTTCACTTGCCTTGCTGTAAAAAGTTGATGAGTGATGCATCTGTAGGCAGCATTTGCAGCGTTTTTCATCACACGAACGACATTCTCCAGAAGTACTTCTCGGATCAGACACTCCAGCTCGCACTAGCAGGTTCCATAGACTATCGGGTTGCCTAAAAGCTATCATCAGGGCTCGGGAAAAATCTTGCATAGTTTGGAATTCTTTTCCATTGTTTTCCAATGCTCACGAATGACACAGAAGCTGTTTGTTAGATATGGGGTTAAGTAAGAACACATGGAGTCCTTTTATTTTTCTTTTTATCTTTGTATTCTAGCAGTTTGCTTCTTGGGATATTTTCTGCTTTCTGAAAACTTGTTTGAATAGTCTTGTGTTTATAGCCCCTTCTCTTCAAATGGGTTTCGAGTGACTCAGTCATTTTTTAGTTGTTTCTGTGTTGGAACATATTCGCTTGACTCTGAGGGCCTGACTGTACGGGATGCTCTTAGTGCAGTGTGCAGGATGGCAACTTTTTGGGGACAGGTATTGGTGAGTATCAGTAGGCTGAGAATATAGGTCTCAATATCATGCCATCTGTTAGGGAGTTAGAAGTATCGAGGACACCGCATATATTAATGTAGCTTTCGTTATTCGAGTAATGCTTTTCCTCCTCGGCTTACTTATATATATGTATACGTGCTGTAATTTCTGGTTTATCAAGTACAACCATTGAAATACTGAAAATGCATTATCTTTTCAATTCAGTTTACTCAGTCTCTCTTTCAAACATAATGAATAATATAAGTGTTGAATTGAATAAAGCACCAATACAAGAACTGCATTTTACAAATAATTCAAAAGTACAGTTTAATGAAAGGGACATGCCTGTAAAAATGCCACCTAGCCTTAGAACTCTTAATCTACGTGATACTTCTTTGGAGGCATTTAAAACTTAACATCAAACAAGTCACATTTTTAAATTTAGAAGATAACAGACTTGGAAATTATCTGGCAAATAATAGCCTCTGGATAAAAGAGAGTAAACTGGAATATATAAGTCTGTCAAACAACTCTATTTACAAACTTCACACTACAATCTTCATAGGACAAAGGTACCTCAGAGTTATTCATTTAAGATTTAATTTTCTGAAAGATATTAATTTCGATATCACTTCTCTGGTGAATATAGAGATTTTAAATCTCAAAAACAATCAAATAAAATATTTGAGTGACCAATCAATAAAGGAGCTAGATAAGGTTTTTAAGAACAATGTCAATGCAAGAATAGACCTCAGTAATAACCCTCTTCAGTGTGGCTGTTTTACATTGCCATTTTTTAACTGGATGAGGCTTGGTCATAAACATTTTACCAATTTTATGCAGTTCAGATGTACATTTGAAAATGGAAGTTTTTGGATGCCGAATTAATTTGAAGACATAATACTTAATCTACAGCAAGACTGTACAAATCATTTTTATTTGATAATAAGTGTGTCATTTGCAGTTTTGGTTTTTGTGGCAGTATTATCAGCAGCTATTATTTTTAGACACAGATGGAAACTGCGTTACTTATTTTAAACTGCTAAATTAAAATACACCTCTCACAGGAACATGGAAGAAAATTTGAATATGTTTACGATGCATTTATTTCTTATTCTGAAAATGATCGTAAATTTGTCATAGAAGAATGCATCAAAAATCTTGAAGAAAATGGAGATATGAAATTATGCATACATCAGCGAGATTTCTTACCTGGAGAAGAGATTACACAAAATATCATCAGTGCTATTCAAAACAGCCGAAAAACTATATGCATAATAAGCCGATCTTTTCTTGATTCTTATTACTGTATGTTTGAATTCAACATGGCAGGAATGGAAAGTATTCATTCAAGGAATGGAAAAAATGTGTTATTTCTTGTTTTTTATGAGAGGTTGCTACCAGAGGAGTTACCACTAGTATTATATGAACTAATACAGATACAGTCGTACATAGAATACCCCAATGATGCGCTTGGCAATGTCATTTTCTGGGACAAAATTAAAGATGCTATACATGCATAATTATACAAAAATATTTTTGTACATGAGCAATGACGTTTTAGAACATCCATTTTATAAATTTTGATAATATTATTTATCTATACTGTTTTACCTGAAATCAAAATAATGAATCACACATTTTTGTCTTTTGTTCTTCAATTGCAATGATAAATGTAAGCAACAATTTATTAATTCACAGTATCATTCTGGAAAAACATCTGGATTCGTTTGCAAAAGTATGAATTATTCGAAATACTAAGGATTTTCTTATCCCAGGCATCGATTAACTTAGCCGTATTTGGCACAACTTTTTGGAATTTTGGGTCCTCAATGCTCTTCAACTTTATACTTGTTTGGCTTTCTACTATTTTGATCTGAGCGTCACTGATGAGTCTTATGTAGACGAAACGCGCGTCTGGCGTATCAAATTATAAGCCTGGTACCTTTGATAACTATTTAAATGACTTTCCTTTAATTTAAAAAGCAGTTTTTATAAAATTGTTAAAGTTGGTTGACACATCTATAGTTCTGCTGCAAAAATTCAGGCCAATAAAAAAGAATATGTGTGTTTGCCCTAACCCTACATACCCAGAAAATAGCTGCCTACTTAAAATCTTTTATTGTCCTGATGTGAAAAAGTTTTTTTTTAATCAGATAGGCATGAAGACTAAAAAACATATGACACTTCAGTTTCTCTTTGCTGAAAAAAACGCCTTCCCAGCTACCCACTGTCTCTACCTTTGGGTAGGGTTTGGGCAAACTAAAATATTTTTAAGTGTGACCTCAGGAATACTTCATTTACTGTGTATGAATATTTTTTCTTGTAAATTAAAAGCTGAAACAATATAACAAAGTCAAATAGACACTACAGTTCCGGTAGATTTAGCATTAAACGTGGAACTGGCTTTTTTCTATTTAACAGGGATATCAACGAGATCTTGTGCATTCTAGTAACACATGGTATATTGGATGTTGGAAAGAAATTAATATTTGCATAATCTAATAAACTTATTTAGTTGTAATTTTTGCCAAAATTTGGTTAATATTATGAAATCTTTTAATTATATGACTTTGACAGGATTGATGTCAACTTTGAACATTTCTCAGCAAGCTTTTTGCCTCTAATTATGTACCTGTCCCAGGCCAGGAGCATGTAGTCCAGTGGCTATAGTTAGTTGCTGTCTGTCACAAATTGTTTTTAGTTTACTGTTTAATAAGCTTATATAAGATCCTTAGTTTCTCTTTAAAAAAATTGTTTCAGATTTTCTTCTCCCTTGGACAGCTAGCTATACACAATGGATTTTAATCACTGTTGAAAGACATAAATTGACATGTGATTGTTCATATCCTTGTCCTTTGATGAATAGGTCATATTGGAAACAATACGGCATCTTCTTATCATTATATACATGTATGTATCAGACTTGTTGTATTCAGGGAATGTGTACCATAGTTTAATAAAGATCAGGATGAAAAGGCATATTTTATTACACATTTTTGGTAAACTTTTTCGCAACAAACATCATAACAAAAAGATTACTAGGGATATTGTGCAATGATTACCCCTGACTTATTAGACATTTATGAAAACTCATTTGCTCAGTAGGTTTAATAAAAATTTAAAGTATCATCACACAGGAAAGGATAACCCATCGAATGTAAACAAAGGCTTACACTGTACACTCAACATTATAAAGCTACAGACAAAATATTAAATCAATCGTTACTACAGAATCTGACCTGTCAGCGGAAAACTTTTAAACCCAAGATGTACTGTGCTCTTTTGCTCACTAACTATACCCCCTCTCATTTTTTAATATCTTTTTGCAGTAAATATAATATTTTTTTTCTGGAATTAAAACAGTTACATGATTTCCTGTTAAACAGGATATTTTTCAATATACCAATATATAAAATGACATGATTTAAATTGTTTTATACATTGTATGTGTAAGTATTGCTGTAATTGTGCATCATATCAGACAGACAGGTATGAAATCTAATTATTATCATAAACCATTTTTTGAGTCCATAATTTTTAAAACAGTTGTAAAATAATATGAATAAAGTGGTATGGGGTATATATTCAATAAAACAGCAACCAACAACATAAATAATCAAAAGACATTTACAAGTCAACATAAACAGTCATTAAAAAAAAACCAAGTCTTTAAAATTGTTGAAAATCTTTACTATTTCACTGCATGTAATTGATTGAGGATGCATGTATACTGAACCATAACTGATCATTCCTTTTCATTGAAGTCAAGTAAACTTTGACCGAAATTTTCATTGTGCAATGTGTGTTGCAACATTTCAAACTATCAGCCAACAGGAAGTGGCCACACCGCAGATGTTTAAGTTGCTGACAACAAACAACTCATCATTAATAAGCTGCATACCATATATAAAATCCTTTCCTCCATTTCGATAAAGATGTACAATGTTGCCACTGGCCTTAAAGCATCCAACAATCAATCTTTGTAAAAAAAAAATAAACTATCAACAAACAGGAAATGGCTGCACAGCAAATGTAAAAATTTGCTCTGACACCATAACTGTTCATTATTTATAACATTTACAGTACCAATTTTTCTGACCCAGATGCCCTTTTCAACAGTAAATGTCTCATCAGTGATGCTCGAGTTTTAAGCTGTGGACCAAATATAAAATCATTCCCTTCAATAGGAGCCAGGAAAACTTTGACAAACGTTATCTACCCAAGGTCTTTTGGGATGGACTGATGAAAGGAATCAAGCAATCTCTTGAGCTTCAGTAACACAAGTAAAATTACAAGAATGTCATTAAAATAAGCTGTATTCTTTTCTTACAACTTTTAAACTTTCTCTCCCATCCTCTATAAATTAGACAAATGCTTCCAAATACATTTATTCGTTTGATCTTTCTAATTACTAGTACAGGGTAGTGCTAGTTTATATAATTCAATTATTTTTCTTCCAGATAGTGAATATACAGTAAAACTGTGAAGCTGAAAATTATGGAAGCAGACATATATACCAAGCTGATACTGATGCTGTTTAGCAGTAACTTTCTAGATATTAATACTGCTTTACTGTGGAACCCTCAAGTGGGATTCCCCTGCACAAAATTCTACAAGAAAGGAGAACTAAATTTCGATTGTTCATCCACAGCTCAGTATTTTGTTCCAGATATACCACCCAACACAGTTTATCTAGAATTACAATATAACTACATAACCCTAATATCAGACAATACTTTCGAAAACATGACTAATCTAAAAGTACTGGACCTTTCTTTCAACACGCTTAAGTTAGTGAATGACCAAACATTCAATGGACTTGGAAACCTGAAGCATCTAAAATTGAGCAATAACTTGTTAACTGGTGGAATGCCAAATAAAACCTTTCAATATATGACCCGTCTTACTGATCTGGATCTATCGTTCAATACATTGGAAAGAATAAATTTACAAACATTTGTAGGACTTCAAAACCTGCAGAATCTTCAGTTGAATAACAACAATCTTCAATATAACATATCTAGCATTCCAACAGGAAGTTTTAAACCTTTAAAATCACTTACAAGACTTTCTATTCATCACAACAATGTATTGGGGTCCCTATTTACTGATTATAGTATAGTTTTTCCAGATATAACAATTTCTGATTTAACAATGCTAGAAATTTTAGAACTGGACATTCATTCTGGTTCTGGTGCAAAAAAAGTAATTTTTGGGAAAGGTTTCTCTTTTCTTGAAAACCTATACATGCTCAATATTAATAACTGTAATGATTTTATTCTAAAAAGTGACACATTCAAGTACACACCACATTTAACACATGTATATATTAACTGTTGTTCTTTAATATCATTCATTCGAGGACATGAAGTATTTTCTAAATTGATGAAGCTGAAAATATTACAACTAAATGTTTCATCAGATCATTGTGCTGATGGGATGATGTTGAGTGAAGATAACCTGCTTGGTTTAATTAAAGGTTTGTCAAACACAAGCATTGAAATACTGAAATTTAGTTATCTTTCAGATTTAGTCGACTTAGACTCTCTTTCAGTCATAATAAATAAAATAAGTGTTTCATTGAATAAAGCACCTATTCAAGAACTGCATTTTACCAAAAATTTCAACATACAGATTCCTATGGATATACACGTACCTGTACAAGTGCCACCCACCCTTAGACGTCTTGATCTTAGTGATAATACTTTGGAAGCATTAAAACTTAACATTAAACAAGTTGCATTCTTAAATTTAGAAAATAACAGACTTGGAAATTATCTGGCAGAAAATAGCCTAATGATACAAAACAGCAAACTGCAGTATATAAGTCTGTCAAACAATTCTATTTACAAACTTCACACTACAATCTTCATAGGACAAAAGTACCTCAGAGTTATTGATTTAACATTTAATTTTCTGACAGATAGTAACTTTGACATGAGTTCTCTGGTGAATTTAGAGATTTTAAATCTAGAAAAAAATAAAATAAAATATTTGAGTGACCAATCAATAAAGGAGCTCGACAAAGTTTTTAAGAACAACGGAAATGCTAAAATTGACCTTAGTAATAACCCTCTTCAGTGTAGCTGTTTTACGTTTCCATTTTTGAATTGGATGAGACTTAGTCATAAACATTTTATCAATTTCACGCAGTTCAGATGCGAGTATGAAAATGGAAATTTGTCGATGCCGAATTCATTTGAAGACGTAATACTTAATCTACAGAGAGATTGTACGAATCATTTTTATTTGATAAGTGTGTCATTTACTGTTTTGGCTTTTATAGCAGTATTATCAGCAGCAATTATTTACAGACACAGATGGAAACTGCGTTACTTATTTTACACAGCAAAATTAAAGTATACCTCTCACAGGAACATGGATGAAAATTTGAATGAATATGTTTACGATGCATTTATATCTTATTCTGAAAATGATCAAAAATTTGTCATAAGAGAATGCATCAAACATCTTGAGGAAAATGGAAATATGAAATTATGCATACATCAGCGAGATTTCATACCTGGAGAAGAGATAACACAAAATATCATCAGTGGTATTCAAAACAGCCGGAAAACTATATGCATAATTAGCCGATCTTTTCTTGAGTCTTATTACTGTATGTTTGAATTCAACATGGCAAGAATGGAAAGTATTCATTCAAGGAATGGAAAAAATGTGTTATTTCTCGTATTTTATGAGAAGTTGCTTCCAGAAGAGTTACCACTAGTCTTATATGAATTAATACAGAAACAGTCATACATTGAATATCCCAATGATGAGCATGGCAATGTCATTTTCTGGGACAAAATTAAAGATGCTATACATGCATAATAGTATAGAATAGATTTGTCAACATGAGAAATGAGTTGAAATACGTCAGGAAGTTTAATGTTTGTTCATCCAAAAAGGGTACTTTAATGTAAAAGCCATGTTTCATTTTCATTTTATTTTTATCTTTTGAATTTGATTTAGGTATTGGCATATACTGTATTTAAACTTGTCTTTTGTTGAAAACCTTATGTTGACCTCTTGATGTATTTTTGGTTTATTTTTATAATTGTGTTGCTGTTAATACGACATACTCTTCTCATTTAATCACAAATTACATTGGTATTAGGTACAGGAATAAGGAAATATAAATAACAATTAAACAATCGAAGCAAAAAAGGTTTATTAGAAAATAACAAGTTTTAGATAAATTCAATATTAACAGTAATGATTGTCCTTTTTCTGGAATTTGATATTTCAATTTCACATGGGAAAATCAAAACAGAAATTTATGACAATAGGGGAGATTTTTCATTTCATATTGCTAATTATCCTTTTTGGGACAGTGAAGTTTCTTCTTCCACTGTTTATGATGTGAATACTTTTCAATTCATTTTCTATGCTTGTGTCTGAAGTTACACTTAAGGTTTCAATTTGCGTTTTCTTTGTATAACTGGTAAATCATTAAATCTGGGATTGCATTCACATAAATAGCTAAATTCTTTCATAGATATAAAGATCTGGTTTTGGGGTATGACTGTACCTGTACAATTCTTAAAACAAGATATCTCATCTTAACTTTTAAGGTAATGATGTTTATAAAGCCTGTATATACAGATTTGATCCATGTAAAATAAAAAAATAATAAAAAGTAATACTTACCATCCGTTGTTGTTTATGTCAATTGTTTTGAACTAATTATTTATAAAATTTATTTAGGATAGAAGTTTTCATGTCAAAATTATACCTTTTTAAACCAGTGACTCATATTATAATAAGTCATTATTTTGTTTGCATTTCATGACATAGACAACAACTAACTGGAGTTGGATGGTAAGTATTACTTTTTATTTCACTGCACTCACTTCAAACTAACAACCTTTCACTGAAGCAATACGTTAAAATATTTTACCAGCACAAATTTGAACGACCAAAAAGAGAACTGGCAAAATATAAGTCAACTTTGCCCAAACAGGAAATATACCAACATAATAGTGAATGATCACCAAAAATACAAATAAAAACCATAAAAGCTTAAAGTTGACATGGTAACCAGGTACGCGAGGTCAACTTTGCCCAAAGAAAAACTGAACTGCTACAAAGAATGGCAGTCAAATACACTATAGTTCAGGTGGATTTTGCTTTCTTCACTCTCAACATGGGCAGGTGGAAATGGAAAATATTTGACAAATTGGAACAACCAAAAAGAGAAAAGCTAAAATAAATAGTTAAGTTTGCCAAAAAATATACCAACTGAATAGTGAATGAAGTTTTGTAGAGCCAAAAAAACAAGATAAAATGTTGAAACCTAAAAGTTGACGTGGTAATCAGGTAGGGTCAACTTTGCCCAAAGAAAAACAGAAATGCTCCACAAAAAGGCAAAAAAAAAAAAGAATCATTCTTGCATTGAACTTCACTTCAACAGTTTAAATTCATATACTCAAAACAATTCATATATCCATATACTATAGTTTTTTTGTATAAAAGAACTTAATATGTCCTCAAACTCATATTCCTGTTTTTATGATATATTTTTAACACCAGTATTCTATTTGATGTAGTTCTAATTTATTCAATTTAAATATTTTTGTTTCAAAATTCCAATAGAGAACATATTACATTATTATTGTTACATATACTACAATAATATAAATATTTTGATTTTGTTTAATTAAAGAGACAAATGCGAAATTATTGTTCTGATATCCTCCTCTTTAAATTTATTTAAAAAAAGGGATGTCAACTAGTTATTGTGTATTCAAGTTACACTTGAAATAATGGATGTTGGACAAGGAAATAATATTTTTTGCCATCTAAAGTGTTTTAGTTGTAACTTTGCCAAAATTTTATTTGGTTCATATTTATATTAATGAAATTTAAATTATATGACTTTGACATGTGTAATATTTGTAGATTAGCACTTGGTAGTAGCAAATTTAAATGAAAGGATATTTCAATTTATTTTTCACTATTATTATTAAAAGTGACCGTTAAATTGTTTTTTTGTATTTCAATGATACATACTATTGCATATATATAAATGTGTTTGATCCAAACTTATCAAATCAAAATCCTCTACCGGTTTGCTGGTGAAACAAAGAAAACACTAGTTTCTATCATGCAAAATACGCAAATACAACCCGAAAATTTAATAATCTGGTTGTCTGTATATTCATATTGTAAAATATCAGCTGCTCGACACAATATGAAGCCTTTTTGAACTCGTTCGCTACGCTCACTCGATAAAAAGCTTCACATTGTGACTCGCAGTTGATATTTTACGATATCAATATGCAGACAACCTGATAATCGGTACATATCATTCTTTAATACAGAATCTGATCTGTCAGTGGAAGACTTATAAAAACACGATTTGCTGTGATCATTTGCTCACAAACTATGAGGGTCTAACTGGACCCGGTGTGGTCTTCATTTCTGTATTCTTTAATTTTTAGGCCATTTTTCTCTACTCTTTATATTTGAGCACCCCATTTTTCTCTATTCTGTATTATTTAGGCCCACTATTCTCCAGTTTTTGACAATTAATTTCGTAAACCCCATCCTGACCCTCAACCATACCCCCTTTCAATGTTTTTGGTTCCTTTATGCAGTAAATAATGTGATTTAATAGATGAATATATATCTATTAAACCATATTATTTTTGGGTGCAGGATTATCTCGCTGTGTTGAAGACCCATAGGTGGCCTTAGGCTGTTTTCTGCTCTTTGGTCAGGTTGTTGTCTCTTTGACACATTCCCCATTTCCATTCTCAATTTAACACATGTAAATAAATTTAAGTGCGGTATGCTTATGAATTTTCTGATCTATTTTAGTCTCTTGTTTTACAAATTAGTAGGGTATTTAATAGATTGAAAAGATTTAAGTTTATTGAAGGCTGGGCGGTGACCACTCGAGTTGCACACAATTTATTAAGATGTCCGATTCAGAACTAGCCCTCAACGTTAGAGAATTAATCGAGACTCCTGACAAGTCAATATCGGCATTACGTTCTGCTGCAGAATCAACGAAAAGAAAAGGTAATTCAGAACAAGACATGTCACCAGAAGTTTCAAATGCAGATTTGTTTTTCCCTGATGACAACGTTTTTCAATGATAAACTTTCAGGCATAGAGAAGAATTTTTCAGAAACTACAGAGACATTAGAAAGCACAGAACACCTTTAAATTTAAGGGGAATCAGGTACAATTTGAACTTAATTGTGATATCCAAGATAATATTAGTACTGCAATTACTACATTGAGAAGAATCTACCCAAAAAGGCAGTCCGGGTACTAGAAGATGCGTCTGTTCAGCTCAAGAAGAGAAATAAATTAATCAGAATTGCAGATAAGTCCGAGGGCGGTTGGAGAACTGTTAATGAATACCTTCCAGATGAAGTGGCCAGCGACTCGGAAGATGAGAAAAGAATACGCGCAGCGGACAACAGGGCAGTCAAAAAGATCAAAGCAGAGAAAACAAATAAACGTAGCAGCAGAAAGCGTCAAGCAGAAGCATCTGGTTCAGCAACTCAAATGGCACATAATGGTACAGGTGGTTCTGATGCTACATTTCGCCTGCAGCCCTTTTCGAGGGGGCTTGGCCGCCAGCGGTCAAACTTTTGGCCACCAGAATAGCTTTAAGACCTCAGACATCTGCTACAACTATGGTACGCGAAGGGCACTGGTCAAGAGACTGCAGAAAGGTAAAGGCAAGGACAGGACCTCCCAGAGGATCTTCTTCTTAAAGATCAAAACAGTGACATTTTCAAGGTACAAGATTTTGATATTTTTCAAACATTTTATGAATATGAAAATTGTATTTCTGATATTTATGTAAATGTATATTGTAAAAAGCTATTAACTTTTGGAAACAAATTAATGCTTCAGATTTCATTTTGAATGTTATTATAGACGGTTATAAAATTCTGTTGCTTAAAGAGCCTGAAGAAATATTTTTACTAAATAATAAATCAGCATTAGATAATAGTGAATTTGTTTCAACAGCTATTTTAGATTTAATGAAAGGTGGCTTGATACGTGAAGTATCGAGTAGACCTCATGTGGTTAATCCTTTGACCGTCGCGACTGCGAAAAATAAACACAGGTTAATTTTAGATTTACGACACGTAAACAAAAATGTAGTCCATAACAAGATTAAATTCGAAGATTGGAAAGTAGTTGAACAGTATTTATCTTCGAATTGTTTCGGTTTTGTTTTTTATAAGAAATCAGGATACTATCATATTGATATATTTCATGAGCCTCAGAAATACTTAGGTTTCTCCTGGAAATAAGGAGGTGTAACAAAGTTTTTTGTTTACTGTACTTCCTCTTGGTTTGAAATCTAGTGGATATATCTTTACTAAAGTCGTCCAACCTTTGGTAAAACATTGGCGAAAGAAAGGAATCAAAGCCGTTGTTTATTTAGATGACGGATTCGGTTTAGCCGAGAATGAAAACACATGTAAAATGCACTCTGATTTAATAAAGTCAGATCTTATATTATCGGGGTTTGTACCAAACAGAGATAAATGTCACTGGACAAAAACACAAAAATTAGAGTGGTTAGGTTTTATTTGGAATTTAGACATATGTAAACTCAATATACCAGAGAGAAAAAAGAATGATTTAATTGAATTAGTCAATATTTTCCTTTACAGTTCCTGTAAAGTGAAAGTAAGATTGTTAGCAAAAGCAGCTGGTAAGATTATTTCTTTTACGCCTGCTTTAGGGCACAGTACACAGATCATGTCTACAGGTTTGTTTACATTCATAAATTTAAGACAAGATTGGGATCAATCTATTAATATAAATCATTGTATCACTTGTATCAGAGATTTGATATTTTGGAGAGATAATATTTGTAAGTTAGAAACAGTTTCTTTGTTAGGACTGGATTCTGAATTTTACATATTTACAGATGTAAGCAATACAGCGGCCGCTGGTTATATTGATAATCTTGAACAGATTATGCACAAATCTTGGTCTGATGACAAGAAATTGAAAAGTTCCACTTGGAGGGAAGTCAAAGCTATAGAGTTGTCTCTATTAAGTTTTACACGTTTATTAACAAATTGCACTGTTTCGTTTCATACAGATAATCAAAACGCTGTAACAATAGTTCACAAGGGTAGTAAAGTACCAGAATTACAGTCTTAAGCTTTATCGATCTATGATTGTTGTGGCAAAAATAATATAACTATTTTTGTCAACTGGATTCCAAGGGAACATAATGAATAAGCTGATATGTTAAGTAGAATTGTCGATATTGACGACTGGCGTATTTCAGATGAATTTTTCACATTCTTGAATGATTTATGGGGTCCATTTTCAGTAGATAGGTTTGCTAGCTTTGAAAATACGAAATTACCAAAGTTTAATTCTTTATATTGGAACCAAGGTTCTTTATGCGTCGACGCTTTCACGTGAGACTGGTATGGTGAGAACAACTGGCTAGTACCTCCAGTAACTCAAGCTAGCAGGGTTATAAATCATTTAGTTAAAATGCAAAGCCAAAGGAACTTTGGTAGTTCCATATTGGTCTTCATCGCCATTTTGGCCGTTGATTTTTGACACTGGTCTAAAATATAGAAAGAACATAAATGATGTGCTTCAGTTTAATGAACCAGAGAGAACTATTGAATCTGGAAATAATTTAAACTCTGTATTTGTAAGAGGAGATTTTAAAGGAACCAATTATTAGCTGTTATGTTAGACGCTTCATATTATTAATATTTAGTTTTTATTTACAGAATTGTTTTTACTATATGAATATTGATGTAATGTGCGTGTTGGCAGTCACTGGACGTTTTTGTCGATCACTGGACGTTATTCTCTTTGTCACTGGACTAAATCTTTTAGTATGGTCACTGGACCTGATAGATATGCATTGATTCAGGTAAATATGTTATGTATAATAGTAAAATTTTTATGAAAGATTATTATTACTGTATATCTACTTTTAGAACATTTTTTCGACTGGATTCTGGTCACAGTTCAGTTCTGTTAAGCACACAGAACTCCGTCTACTTTACTCTAATCTAAATGTAACTGTCTTAGATTCGAGGGTCAAGACGACGGTAACAAAATATATTGGAGGTTTCAAACGTTTTCTAAAGTGGACACAAAAATACAAAGAGATAACTTCAGTACCTCCGTGTAATAAACTTTATGTGGGTTTATACTTGCAACATTTGATTGAGTCATCTAAAGGTTTTAATTCAGTAGATACAGCATTTTATAGCATAAAATGGGCTCGTAGTATTGCCGGCTTAACTGATCCATGAGAGTCTGAATTAGTCAAGAAGATACTAGAAGGTGCTAAGAGATTACTAATAAGAGAAAACGATTATCCGTCTCTAAGAATTTAGGTTTATAGCATGTACACGTTCTGCTTTCTTTGTACGTCGAAATGGTCACTGTGCCTGTTAGTATCAGAAATAGTCTTGTCTTATTCATATAGATATATACAATATGAGTCAGTTTAGAACAGAAATGAGGGGTAGAGTTGTACAAGAAAATTACAGCAAGTTAAGCACATAAATATGTTATGTTAGTTTGAACATCGTGAACTGAGAACATAATTATAGATTATTGATGGTTTTTCAAACGAGAGGGTGTTTCTCAACTACAATCTCATAGAAGGGCAACAGACAATTGATAATGACTGTTTATCGATAGTTTGCCTATGGCATTTTTGATGTTTACTTTAACAATGTCACGTACGTCCTTAGTTTCTGACAATAATTAGCAAGTAGCATGATATGAAAAATTTTCTCACAAAAAAGATCAAAGGAAAAAAACACAAAATAGCCATAAACGTGCACAACATTTTAAACATATCAATTTTTGGCAAGGAGAAAGTAGAACATTCAAAGAACCAAAAAACATTTAACATAGTATAGCATATCGAGATGAAGCTTGGTGCCATATACATGATATATTAAATATTAATTTTCAGGAAGAATAACATCCAAGGAACTAACGGGGTATGACATAACCATATGAAGATGATAACTGCTGAGAAAAACTGTGACAGAAATGTGTTAAGGGGTAAATTCAGTAAATAAATATACGTCATCAGGGACCGCCCATTTGGGGGAGAGCTTTCTGTACAAAACTGAAGTCCTGTGCTCTTCTGATTGGTAGATAATGTTTGTAATAAATATTTTTTGATAGATGGATCAAAACTAGAGTTAAAAAAAATTAAAAAATGAATGCTGAATGTACTAAATTTTTTTACTACAGGGTTGAAAAGTAATGGGGGTCAGTAAAGGAATTAAGTGCGAATCTACAGTGTTTGTAAACAAGGCCATGTGAATGCCCAAAAATGCCGCATGACCCTATGTTTTTATTGTTGCAAAATATAGGGCTACATTTGTACTTTCATGAATGATATATGAAAGCTCCCAATTTCTAAAGGTAAATCAGGTATAAATTTAATTCAAGACATAGATTAGCATTAAAGTCAATGGGAGATTTTTTACTGAATTTACCCCTATAGGAAAATATGCACTCTGTCACTGTACTTGTTCAAGGCCACACAACAATCACAAAACTCATTTCCTGTAAATATTAATGCACTGGAAGCCTCTTGGAACCAGTTAAAGTTGTTTTTATACAAATTTCTATGTTTAACCGCGGCTATCCAGGATGCTCTGAGTGTACTGTGGGAGGAAGCATGGGGATATATGGTAAAAAATCAGTTTTGTGTCCAGATTGAAAGAAACAATAGAAATTACACTTGAGAGTTATGATATTATTAAAAGGCATAAATATTCTCCCCATTTTAAATCACATTTTGCACATATTTCTCCTAATAATGTGTAAAATCATATGGAAAATCAGAATTACCTCCCTTTGACATAGTGTATTTTTTTAAGCTGTGTTCCCCATGTTAAGTTGTAGATCATGTTGTAAATAAGCACTTTTCAAGTATTTTAACACTCGAATAATCTGACCGTATGAAGATATTCATTTATTTTTACATAATTCATTGCGTTTCTTTAAGTAAAAAAAACTACTAGACAACTTTTCATGATTATATACCCTTCATCTATAAAACTAGTGTTGAAATGTTTGTAATTGGATTGCTATGTTAAATAATTGCTTTTTAATATTCTAAATTGTTACTTTTATGTTCCAAATGCAAAGTTTGGTCATAGCCAGTCTTATTTTTTTCATATTTGGCACTTTTTTCTACTTCAGTTTTGTCGGCCTAGTTTTGGCGAAGAAACCATCCTGATGTTGGGGTAACAGGAATTTCTGCAGAGTGGTTGTCAATGACATTTTGTGAAATTTACAAGTAATTAAAACACAGATTTAGTAAAATGAAACATAATTGTTGTTTTTTATGGTATGAAACTGCTTAAAAAACCTTTGAAAAGTCTTTTTGTGGTCTTTTTCAGGGTATTTAATTAAAATCTTCCATATAAGGCAAAATTTAACTAAGAGTACATCAAGACTTTAGTTCCTAGATGTACTTGCAAAACTGATCAAAGCAAACACAGAAAACAATTCATATTTATTAAGCATAGTATTTTACACCATTCTTTTAAAAACAGTCAATGTGCAACTTTATATACCAAATATACATTGGCCGCAGTATGGGCTGTAGTATAAATTTTCCTCCCGCTTTACAAGTTCAGCCTTTATGAATGTTGTATTGAAACTGGAACTTGAAAATTGGATACATTACATGATTAATACAACAAAAATAGGAAAAGAAGTTAAAAAGTCCCTTATAGGGGTAAATTCAGTAAATAAATATACGTCATCAGGGACCGCCCATTTGGGGGAGAGCTTTCTGTACAAAACTGAAGTCCTGTGCTCTTCTGATTGGTAGATAATGTTTGTAATAAATATTTTTTGATAGATGGATCAAAACTAGAGTTAAAAAAAATTAAAAAATGAATGCTGAATGTACTAAATTTTTTTACTACAGGGTTGAAAAGTAATGGGGGTCAGTAAAGGAATTAAGTGCGAATCTACAGTGTTTGTAAACAAGGCCATGTGAATGCCCAAAAATGCCGCATGACCCTATGTTTTTATTGTTGCAAAATATAGGGCTACATTTGTACTTTCATGAATGATATATGAAAGCTCCCAATTTCTAAAGGTAAATCAGGTATAAATTTAATTCAAGACATAGATTAGCATTAAAGTCAATGGGAGATTTTTTACTGAATTTACCCCTTAAGGAATGAGGTAAACCAGTATATCGCTGTACATTAGAGAAGGGGGATAACTATTGGTCATAAGAATTACTTGTATGTCTTATTGCTTAATGAGGTACCCTCTATTTATTTCAGACAGATGGACGAATGGGGTGGCGGATCCATGGACAGCACCAAACAGTTACCATACATGTTCTCTCCTCTGATGACAAAAGTAAAAAGATACTAAAATATTTACCATAACAGTTCTTATCAATAACAGTATTCATATAAAGGCATGATTTCTTTTGTTAACTTCTTTGCAATCACTATAAACACATCAAATTACTGATATCAATATGAAAATTGGGTCAAAACATTCCATCTCAATAAGTTTAAAGTCTTACTCATAAATTCTTGACTTTTAGAAAACATAATGGCAAGACACATCTAATTGTGAATGTATTCTTTCCTTATATAGTTCAATGATTTCCTTTCAAACAGGATATTTTCCACTTAAAAGATACAAAATAAAGTCCTTTCACTTGTATTGATGATTGTACATTGTATATGAAGTATTGCTGTAATCCTGCATCATATGACGAACAGGTATGAAATTCAAATAATTTATTTTTTGCATATTTGTAGCTATGATATACTTTCATGCCCCCATTCAATGAACCAGTATTTGCAATAGATATCAGAAATGTTTTACATCACAATTGTTAACAATTTTTTTTCAGAATGATCCTTTATTGATTTCTCAAATTGTTTGCATGGTTATCTGCCTTTCTGTTGTTTATAATACTGGTACCTGAGCTTTTTTTTTCTAAGCTGGTTTTAATTGTACATACTTCGATGTATCTTTTATTATTCCAGTTATCAAGATTAAAAGAGGCTTTAGTGCTCAAAAAGAGTGTACACACTGAAATGTCTCACCTGCTTTACTCACCATGACTGAATTTATGTTGAAAGTCTGTTATATGAAGTTTTCTATACAAGTATTATGTAAACTTAACATTATCATTGATTCATGTAAATGAGGTACAAGGTCTGATGAATGCTGCCAGACAGACCATATCATGTCATGTCACACTTGACCTAAGAATTTGTGACACTTGAACTTTTGACGTCATTCAACAATCCCTTTTCTTTTGTGGCACCAGCTTCTTTCTATTGAGACATGCACATTTTACATAAATCATTTTGTTGTGTAGTAATTGCGGACAACTATAGTTGACCTATTGCTTAAAGTACCCAAGAAAGACATAGCCATGAAAACTTAAATATTAACCAAGGAACAACGACAATGAGTTTAATGTCAGATGAACCCTGCCAAACAAACCAACCATGGAAAAAAGACAAAGGTCACAAGAAACCTGTGTGACAGACATGTGCACCTTACAATCATTCCATACAAGAAAAACAGCTGATATATTGCTTATAATACCTAAGAAACAGACCAAACCACAAAAACTTAATATTGACCAATTAACCATGGTAATGAGATCAAGGTCATTAAATTGAATGAAAATAGAAATAAAAGGAGGTGTGGGGTATATGTCAATGAGACAGCAACCATAGACACAAATAATCATAAACCCTGCCACATTCTTTTTGTACCTGTCCCAAGTCAGGAGCCTGTAGTTAGGTGGCAACATAAACCCAATACATACTTTTAGCTATATTTTCTTAGCAATCATATCACATCTCCTTACTTTTATCTAGAAGTCAATATATAAAATTAAAAAAAATTAAAGTCTAAAAATCGAGACTATAGGGGGGATCTAGTGATCATGTAAAACCCAACCACTGAGATATCATGATTATGTTTAGTGGTCCAAAGCACTCCATTAAAATTTCAATAATTTCAACAATTATTATCTGGAAACCACATTTTAAATTTTTTTTCCAATAATCAAGTACTGTCAATTCAGTAATTTTTTTATTACTGCAAAATTAGCAATGGGATAGGTTTCTCAATAATAAAAACTTCCATTTTGAATTATGCAATCATTATTTGAATGCAGCACATTCTTAAATTGCAATAATTAATCTTTTTTATTTGTGTCCATTCTTCAACAATCACAATAATAAATGCCCACACAATTTTCTGAATTTACAGTACCATAAATCTGTAACAGTAAAGTAAAAACAACAAAAAAGGGAAATAAACCGAACTTTAGTGGTCCAAAATATTCAATTCAAATTTTAATTCATTTAAAAAGACGGTTCTCTTTTTATCATGTGGAAACCAAAAACATAATTTTCCCAATGATCCAGTACCATAACTCTGGAAGGGTGAAAGTTAAAACAACAAATATTGAACTTAACCTAATTTTTAGTTTTCCAAAACCTTCCATTAAAATTTTCAAAATGCAGTCCTCTATCATCTGGAAACCAAAAAAAATTTAAGTGTTCTAAAACATTCTATCAAAATTTCAAATAGCTGTTCTCTCTTTGTCATCTGGAAACAAAAATTAGAATTTTTCAACAATCAAGTTCCATAACTCTGGAACAGAAAAAGTAAAAACAACAAAAATTTAATTTATTTGGTCTTTAGTGGTCCAAAACATCCCATTAATATTTTCAATTAATTTCAATTCAGTACTCTATTTATTATCTGGAAACCAAAGTTAAACTTTTTTCCAAAAACCAAGTGCCATAACTCTAAACCAGAAATAGTAAAAAGATAAAAATAGAACTTAACCTGTCTTCAGTGGTCTAAATCATTCCATTAAAAAAGATGATAAATTTCAAAAAGCAGTCCTCAATTTTGTCATCTGGAAACCCCAAAAATTAGAATTTTTCCAACAATCAAGTACCATAACTCTAGAACAATAAAAGTACAAAAGATGAAAATCAAACCAAAACCTATCTTCAGTGGTTAAAACATTCCATTTGAATTTCATTTAATTTCAAAAAGCAGTTCTCTGTTTATCATCTGGAAACTAAAAGTGTGATGAACGGACAGATGGATGGACGGACATGAGGATTGATATATACCTTTGTCCGGTAGGTGTAAAAAAAATGTTTATAAAGTTATTTAGATTGTAAGACAAAACAGACAAAAATGTACTTTAATGAATCTGTATACCTTTGTAATGTTTTTTTTTCTCATTTCTATAAAAATCTTTCCTATCCTATAAGTTTAAAATTTCTATCACGACAAAAAAAGTTTCAAATATGTTTGTAATTTTAACTTTTTAAATAGTGTATAAACTATTATCACAGAGATATGTCTCGCCTTTTTGTAATTTTGATAATGCAAATGTTGAAATTAAAATAGCAATACTTTAACATGTAAGTTATGCAAATATTCAAAGTCGATGAACCATGACTGAAGGTACATGGCTAAACAATCTCCATGGAATGAGATGTGCCAATGCTAATACAACTGCATACCAAATACCATTGACTTATTATAAGTCATTCCCTTTAAACAAACCTAAACACAAACATTAACTTGTAAACTATGTAAAAGTTTCAAAGTCAATGAACCATGATCAGGGGTGGGGCTATATAATCTCCTTGGAAACGATACTTGCAAATGCCAATAAATTTGCATACCAAATATCATTGACTTAACATTAGCAGTTCATCTTAAACTGACCTAATCACAAACAAATACATGTAAACTAAGCAAAAGTTTCAAAGTAAATAGACCATGACTGAGGGAGCGGGGCCAAATATTCTCCATGGAAATGAGATGTGCTAATGCTTATACAACTGAACACCAATTAACATTGGCCTACCACTAATGGTTCCCCTTGAACTGACCTAATCACAAACTAATACATGTTAACTTAGCAAAATTTTCAAAGTCTATAGACCATAACTAAGGGGGCGGAGCCAAATTATCTCCATGGAAATGAGATATGCCAATGCTTATACAACTGCATACCAAATATCATCGACCTACCACTAGTGGTTCCCCATAAATTGACCTAATCACAAACTAATACATGTAAACTATGAAAAGTTTCAAAGTCAATAGACCTTGACTGAGGGGGCGGGGCCAAATGATCTCAATGGTAATGAGATGTGCCAATGCTAATACAACTGCATACCAAATATCCTTGACCTACCACTAGTGGTTCACCATGAACTAGTCCTAATCACAAACTAATACATTGTTGACGCCGTGACGCCGACGTCGGCTGGAAACAGCATACCTATGTCTCGCTCTTTTCCGTCAAGGCGAGACAAAAATTACCCAAGCTGGACCTTGCACTACACATGATATGGTTCAAACAAATTTCAAGATCCTCAAAGTCAGCATGGAAAATAATAATTAAAATTATTTATGCTGTTCTTAGATCACTTTAATTGTGACACCAGATGAGAACTGTTAATCATTTACATGATTTACAGAAAAATAATTGAAGGTTATTTCATCAATAAGTCAAAACATGAAGTTTGCTAAAACTATGGACTTAATTATTTTCGTGTATTGAGGAAACATTATATTTTCGTGGATACTTAATTTCTTGGTTTGGTAATGTCTGCATACAATCATATATAAAATTTGAACTTTGTTGAAGATTTAAAATCGTGGTTCACCATTACCCACGAAATCCACTAAAATTTGTATCCAACGAAAGAATGGGGAATCCACAAAAAGTGAAAATATCTTTGAAATATGACTATTAATAACTTACAATAAATATTTTGGATCTTGTCAGATAGCCCAAAATAAGACATTGCATTTTTGCTTGGGGTCCTTGGATCGCAATAATAAATGCACACAATAATTTCTCAAATAACAGTATATGATTCAATGATATTTTTTTTCCAGATAAGTAACATTACAGAAACTGCCAAGCTGAAAATTATGGATGCAGTCATATATACCAAGTTGATACTGATTCTGTTTAGCAGCAATTTTCTGGATATTAACAATGCCACACCTAGAAACTTTCAATTGGAATTCCCCTGTTCAACGTTCTACAAGAAAGGAGAACTTAAAATTGATTGTTCTCATAAAAATCTGAGATACATTCCTGATTTACCATCGAACACAGTCTATCTAAATTTAAAACATAACCTCATAATCCAAATACCAAACAATACTTTTGAACACATGACTGATCTAAAGGTACTAGACCTACCATTCAACAAGCTACAGTCAATGAATGACTAGACATTCAATGGACTTGGAAACCTGAAGCATCTTAAATTGAACAAGAACAAGTTGACAGGTGAAATGCTAAATAAAAGCTTCAAATATATGACCTGTCTTACCCATCTGGATCTATCATTCAATATGTTACAGAGAATAAATGAGCAGACATTTATTGGACTTCAAAACCTGCAAAATCTTCAGCTGAATAATAATATACTTTATTATAGTATACTGAACTTTCCACCAGGAAGTTTTAAACCTTTGGAATCGGTCACAAGGCTTTCTTTTCAAAACAACAATTTTATGCCAAAAATATTTCTTAGTCGAACTACTGTTTTTCCAGATAAAACAATTTCTGATTTAACAATGCTAGAAATTTTAGAACTGGACAGTAATACAGGTTTTGGTGATAAAGCAATTTTTGGGAAAGGGTTCTCCTCACTTAAAAATCTTTATTTACTCAATGCTTATTACTGTGAAACGTTTATTCTAGAAAGTGACACGTTCCAGTACACACCAAATTTAACACATGTATACTTCAACCATTGTTCGCTTAAAGTATACAGAAAACATGATGAATTTTCAAAATTAATGAAGCTGAAAGTATTACAACTAAATGGATGGTATTCATATAGTCCAGATATACATGAAGATGAGAGACTGCTTGCTTTAATTTCTGGTTTGTCAAATACAACCATTGAAATACTGAAAATGCATTATCTTTTCAATTCATTTTACTCAGTCTCTCTTTCAAACATAATGAATAATATAAGTGTTGAATTGAACAAAGCACCTATTCAAGATCTGCATTTTACAAATAATTCAAACGTACAGTTTAATGAAAGGGACATGCCTGTAAAAGTGCAACCTAGCCTTAGAACTCTTAATCTAGGTGATAATTCTTTGAACGCATTAAAACTTAACATCAAACAAGTCACATTCTTACATTTAGAAAATAACAGACTTGGAAATTATCTGGCAAATAATAGCCTCTGGATACAAGAGAATAAACTGGAATATATAAGTCTGTCGAACAACTCTATTTACAAACTTCACACTACAATCTTCGAAGGACAAAAGTACCTCAGAGTTATTGATTTAAGATTTAATTTTCTGAAAGATATTAATTTTGATATGACTTCTCTTGTGAATTTAGAGATTTTGAATGTCAAAAACAATAAAATAAAATTTTTGAGTGACCAATCAATAAAGGAGCTAGACAAAGTTTTTAAGAACAATGTCAATGCAAGGATTGACCTCAGTAATAACCCTCTTCAGTGTAGCTGTTTTACATTTCCATTTTTGAACTGGATGAGGCTTGGTCATAAGCATTTTACCAATTTTATGCAGTTCAGATCTTCATTTGAAAATGGAACTTTTTCAATTCCTAATTCATTTGAAGATGTAATACTTAATCTACAGAGAGATTGTACGAATCAATTTTATTTGATAATAAGTGTGTCATTTACTGTTTTGGCTTTTAAAGCAGTATTATCAGCAGCAATTATTTACAGACACAGATGGAAACTGTGTTACTTATTTTACACAGCAAAATTAAAGTATACATCTCACAGGAACATGGAAGAAAATTTGAATGAATATGTTTACGATGCTTTTATTTCTTATTCTGAAAATGATTGTAAATTTGTTATAGGAGAATGCATCAAAAATCTTGAAGAAAATGAAAATATGAAATTATGCATACATCAGAGAGATTTCATACCAGGAGAAGAGATAACACAAAATATCATCAGTGCTATTCAAAACAGCCAGAAAACTATATGCATAATTAGCCGATCTTTTCTTGAGTCTTATTACTGTATGTTTGAATTCAACATGGCAAGAATGGAAAGTATTCATTCAAGGAATGGAAAAAATGTGTTATTTCTCGTATTTTATGAGAAGTTGCTACCAGAGGAGTTGCCTCTGGTATTATATGAACTAATACAGAAACAGTCGTACATTGAATACCCCAATGATGAGCATGGCAATGTCATTTTTTGGGACAAGGTTAAAGATGCTATACATGCATAATTCTTCAGATTTATGCTCTTATAATATACTAGATAATGGAGTGTGTGTCCGAGCGATCTCTTTGACATATTCCCCATTTCCATTCTCAATTTTATAATTGTAAAATATATTTTTGAGAAGAAAAATGTGTACGTTTTAGTTCGTAACATATTGTATAGATATTGTCATCGAGTTTTGTTGAAACCACTTTGTTGACCACTGGATGTATTTTTTTATTTTTATAATTGGGTTGCTGTCAGTAATATGTATATCCTTGTTTGCACCATATTCATAAATACACTTTACATTTATCTTAAGTACAAGAATAAGGAAAAATTTAATGCAATTAAAAAACATACAAGGCAAAGTGATGAAAATGAAACATCTTAAATAGGGATATCAGAAAATAACCATTAAGGCTATTGGAAAAAAATCCCTACAGAATGTTTTTATATATGAGCTGAGAACTTTCTTACCAATGAATTTTTCTGTTATATAGTCTGTCAAACCAATGTACTTTTATGCTTCCACAATTTTACCTGTGACTTTGTAGTGTTTGATATGATTGTATGGGGAAGGTTAAAAACTCTTTTTAACTACACTAACTCAATCACCAGTATGTGGGGACAGTGCCTGCGGTGAGCCAATAACTTCATCAGTGTTTGTTGTTGTCTATCAAAGAATATTGTGAACGTGTCAGATCTTTTGTAGTATGTCAAAATTCAATTACACTTTTGACAGACTCTGCATGAATAACATGAAAAAGCACCATTTTTTGACAACCTTGTGGTGACCACTTGATTTCTAGTTTTAGATTGATCTAAATTAGTAAACTTATCCCTCATATTCACCTTTCTTTATACGATTAACACTTATGCAATGATAAAACGGGATATGGGTTTCGCAAAAATGAAAATTCACATTTTAATTTTGATAGCATTATTTGTATACAGCATGTAACCTGAAATCATTATAATGAATCACACATTTTTATCTTTTGTTCAACAATTGCGATGATAAATGCATGCCAAAATTTCTGAATTTACAGTTATTCTGGTAAAACACACTAATTCAAATGACATCACCTATTATTTAAATAGCTGTTGGTAATTTTTATAAAATTGTAAAAGATGGTTGACACATGTAAGGTTTCTATTGCAAAACTCAGCGATACTTAATTTACAGTGTATAAAATCTTTATTTTCTTGTAAATTAAAAGCCAAAGTTTACAGAGTCAAATACACTACAGTTCAGGTGGATTTTACTTTCTCCACCTGCCCACGGTGGGAAGCCCACTAAAATTAAATCTAAAATTTTGTAAAAACATTGAATACAATAGCTTTTCTAATTTTTTCAAAAAGAAATGGCAAGTCCACTCTGAAGGATTGGCACTGGGGACATCTAGAATTGTGCCCACTCTCAACATGGGCAGGTGGAAATGGAAAATATGTGGAGCACAAATTAGAAGACCAAAAGGAGAATAGCCAAAATATTAAGTCAACTTTGCCCAAAGAGGAAATATACCAACCTAAAAACCTTTTTACCACAAGTATTGTATTTGATGTAGTTCTGCATGATCCATTCAAAAATAAATGTTGTTATTCTTTTATTAAAAAGACAAATGTGACATTGTTGTTCTGATTACCTCCTCTTGAAATGTATTAGAAAAACATGGATGTCAACTATTCCTTGTGTTTTCGAGTATCACTTAAATTTATTAATAATAGCTGTTGGACATGGAAATAATATTTGCTTAATCCAACTTATTTTTTAAAATTACAACTGTCAAAATTTCATTTAGTTTATATTTATGAAATCATTAATTTATACAACTTTAACATGTGTTAAATCTGAAGATTACAACTTGTAATAGCAATTTTAAATGAAAGGATATTTCATTTTATGCTTATCAATTTTTGTCACTATTATCATTATTAGTGACCATTTATTTGTTTTCTTTATTTCAACGAGAGAAACCACTGCATAAATACATGTGCATAACTAAAAAAAGTGGGATAAATGTCAATGAGACAGCATTACCAAACGACACAAAGAACCAAAATATCTAGTTGATGTCAACATACTGTCTTCAACAAAACAGGTACCTTTACAGTAAGGCAAGTGCTAAATCACCCTGGGTATACTTTGAAGTATGGAACAACTGTAATAGTTGTTTTACTTGTGTTTCTCAAATCAAATGAATATATTTCCCAGGGAGCATTAAGCCTCTTATTATGTACCTGTCCTAAGCCAGGAGCCTGTGTACTCCAGTGGTTAAAGTTAGTTACAGTCAGTCACAACTGTTTTTAGTTTACTGTTTAATTAGCTTATATCAGGTCCTCATAGTTTTTCTTTAGAATTGTTTCTCATTTTATTTTCCTGGAACAATTGCAGCTAGCTATACAGCATGGGTTTTGCTCATTGTTAAAAGCTGTAATTGGCCTTTATTTGTTCACATCCTTGTCTTTTGATCTTTGATGGTTAGTTGTCATATTGGAAATCATACCACATCTTCTTATTTCTATACATGTATCAGACTTGTCGTATTCAGGAAATGTGTACCATAATGGTAGACCACAAAGATGAAAAGGCAAATTTTATACCGGGTAACACATTTTTGGTTTGATCTGTCAATGAAAAACTTATAAAACCAGATGTGTTGTGATCATTTGCTCACTAACTATGAGGATCTGGGTGTGGTCTTCATTTCTGTATTCTTTACTTTTTAGGCCATTTTTTTTCTCTAATATTTATATTTTAGCACCCCATTATTCTCTATTCTTTCTTTTTTTTTGCCTATTTTTCTCTATTCTGTATTTTTTTGGCCCATCATTCTCCAGCTTTTAATCTATTATTCTCTAATCTGTAAACCCCATCCAGACCCTCAACTATACCCCCTCTCAGTGAGTTTGGCTCTTTTTTGCAGTAAATAATATATATATATACAAATGCAAATATATATACAAATGTATACATTGTATATGCATAACATTTTAAATATATATTTATTAAGAAATGCACATTTATACCCTGACAGGTTGAAGACCAACAAAACAACAATATACACAATGCAAACATTATAAAATATTTATCATCATATACCAACAGCAAAAAAAAAAAAAAAAGTAAAGATTATGCAGGTGTGGTGTCCACTATCCTCAGTGCAAAAGACTTTTTAATGAACGGAACAGTAACTTGCATAATATTAAATGAAGATAGAAGTAGTTGTAATCTATTGTTTTTAGATAATTCCATAAATCCTGGATGAGTATTATTCATGTCTTTTTCAAGCTATTTTCGTAAAGAGTTATTAGTAAAATAAAGGGGCATAACTCTAGAAAGGTTAAAGTGACACCACCAAAATTCAAACTTGATCTGTATTTTGCGGTAATAAGCATTGTGTATAAGTTTCAAAACATTTGGTTGAGGCAAACTAAAGTTAGAGAATGGAAACCAACTTTGGGACGTACGGACGGACAAGGGTAAAACTTAATGCCCCTCTGCTCAGCGGGGGCATAAAAAAACATATCAGTGACAGTATTTGGTAAAGGAGAAAGTAGAACATTGAAGGAACTAAAAAACATGTAACATGTATAGCATATCTAAATGAAGCTTAAAGATATAAATTTTTTGGAAGAATAACGTCCAAGGAACTGAAAACATGTCACAAAACACGAGATAAACAGATAAAGGTTGCAGTGATATATATCAAGAAGCTATGACTTATATCTGCTGATAAAAACTGTCACAGAAATGTGTTAAGGATTGAGGTAAATCAGTATATCCCTCTATGCTAGAGAAGGGGGATAACTATTGGTCATATAAATTACTTTTAACATGTATGTTTTATTGCTTAATTAGGTACCCTCATAATGTGTTTCAGAAAGATAGAAATAAGAAATTACAGACGGAGGGACAGTGGAATAGTTACTAGACATGTTCTCTCCTCTGATGACAAAAGTAAAATATACTGAAGTATGGACCATAACAGTTCTTATCAATAATAATATTCTAATAACAGCTGATTTTTTTGTTAAAATCTTTGAAATCATTAAAAATAAAAGAAGAATGTGTCTAAGGACATGAATGCCCCCCTAAAGCTTTGCAATTTTCCATTTCAGGACCAAGTTAAAAAGGGGCATAACTCTAGAATGATATATGACTCACTGCCCAAAATCTAAATCTTTCTGCGATGTGGTTCTTAGCATTGTGTATGAGTTTCATAAATTTGGATGAGACGAACTTAATTAAGAGTGTGGAAACTGAAAAATTTCCAATTTTCCAATCATAAAGGTCCTAACTTTAGAACAAATGACATACTGCATTTTGTATGAGTCTCATAAAATTTGCATGAGACAAACTTAAGTTAGATTGCAGAAATGAAAAGATTTGCAATTTTCCAAATTATAAAGGGACATAACTCTAGAACGGTAAGTGACTTACTGTCCAAATTCGAACTCTGTCTGCGAGTTTTGGTTCTAAGCATTGTGTGTGAGTTTCATAAAATTTTGATGAGGAAAACTTAAGTTAGAGTGCAGAAACAGAAATTGGACAGACATTCAGGGGTAACACTAAATGCCCCCATTGCCTAGCGGAGGGGCATAAAAATCAACTGACTGATATCAATGTAAAAAATCAAATGCTCCGCTGTGGCGCAGCTAGATACGACCGCAGAGGTCGAACCCTGAACAGTTGGGGCAAGTATGGACACAACATTCAAGCTTGATACAGCACTGAATTTGGATTGTAATTAAATATTTGACACAGCATAGGTTTCTGACACAGAATGAATGTGGTCTAAGAACTTAAAAAATTTTAATTTACCTATTCAAACCATACCATTATTATTTGCTTTTATATATAAATCAGAAATAACCAATTTAAAATGGAAAATTTTAAAGAAAAAAAAGGGAAAAAAAATCCCCCCCCCCCCCAATTTTTTGAACCCCCTTATGATTCATCACCCCCAAACTCAATCCCAGCCTTCCCTTTGTGGTATGGTACCTTGCAGTACAATTTCAGAGAGATCCATACACTTGAACACAAGTTATTGTCTGGAAACTAGAAAAATGCTTGTTTTTTGGACCCTTTTTGGCCCCAAATTCCTAAATGTTTAGGGCAATTACCCCCAAACTCAAACCCAGCTTTCCCTTTGTGATATGGAACCTTGTAGTACAATTTCATAAAGATCAATACACTTACACACAAGTTATTGTCCTGAAACTAGAAAAATGCTTGTTTTTTTGCCCCTTTATGGCCCCTAATTCCTAAAATTTTGAGGCAATTACCCCAAAACTCAATCCCAGCCTTCCCTTTGTGGTATGTTACCTTGCAGTACAATTTCAGAGATATCCATATACTTGAACACAAGTTATTGTCTGGAAACTAGAAAAATGCTTATTTTTGGCCCCTTTTTGGCCCCTTATTCCTAAACGTTTTGGGCAATTACCCCCAAACTCAATTCCAGCTTTCCCTTTGTGATATGGAACCTTGTAGTACAATTTCATAAAGATCCATACACTTACACACAAGTTATTGTCATGAAACTAAAAAAATGCTTGTTTTTTGCCCCTTTTTGGCCCCTAATTCCTAAGTTATGTCTGGAAGTTACAAAAATACTTATTTTTGGCCCCTAATTCCTCAACTGTCGGTACCATAACCCCCAAAATCAATCCCCACCTTCCTTTTGTGGTATTGAACCTTATGGTAAAATTTCATAGAGATCCATTCACTTAAACTAAAGTTAGAGTGCGAAAACCAATGTGTCTTCGGACGACGAAAATTTTAATAAGGTCAAAACATAATATCTTTAATAAGTTTTTAAAGTCTTTTCAAAAATTTTTAATTTTCAGAAAACATAGTGGTAAGATACATCTAAAAATAAATCTTTTCTTTCCTTAAACAGTTCTTTATATCCTTTAAAACAGGATATTTTCTACTTATAAGATACAAAACAAAGTGAATTTGACTTGTGTTGATGATTGTACATTATCATATAATACAGGATAACAGCAACACTTACATATCCAAACAGGTAAGAAATTCAATTAATGTATCTATTGCATATATTCGTATCTATGGTATACTTTCATGCCCCTTTTCAATGGACCAGTAATTCATAGATATCAGAAATTTTTTTCATCACAATTGTTAAATTTTTTTTTTTTTAGAATGACACTTTTTTTGATTTCTCAAATTGTGTGCATGTTTATCTGCGTTTCTGTTGACCATACTGGTACCATCCAGTTGAATGTGTTTTTTTTCTAAGCTGATTTTTATTGTACATACTTCGATGTATCTTTTGTTTTTCTTATTATCAAGATTAAAAGGGCTTAGTGCTAAACAAGAGTGCACACACTGAAATGTCTTGCCTGCTTTACTTATCATGACTGAGTTTATGTTGAAAGTCTGTAATAATAAGTTTTTAATACAAGTATCACATAAACTTAACATTATCAATGATCCATGTAAATGAGGTCAAGGTCAGATGAAGCATGCCAGACAGACATGTACACTCTACAATCATACCATACACCAAATATGGTTCGCCTATTGCTTATAATATCTAATAACAACTGAAATTCCTTCACGGTTTGGGCCATAACCCCGAAAATCAATCCCAACCAT